AAAATTGAATGACAGATAAAAACTGACTTTTTAATAAAAAAAATTGCCCCTTAAGAATAGTTATTTTTATATGACATAGAAGATCGTAGTACATATAGTAACCTACTTTCGCTATTTCAAAAACAAAACTGTTATATAAGAGACAAGTTAAAATGTTTATTTTTTAGTTATAAGACTTGACAATTTATAATCCAACATTATATGAATTCCGTAATAGAATTTTGCTTACGTCAATTTTATATTTAAAAAAATACAAAAAAAAATATACAGTAAGTTTAAAATCTTCAAATCGTTGATATTTAAATTGTTGCTAAAATAAAATTTTAATAGACAATAATAATAATAATAAATGATATAAATTAAAAACCTACCAGAACTTTGATATCGTTGACATTCCTAAAAGGGACATGGATAAATAAATTATTAATGAGAATATACATATATAATAAGATTTTACTTTTAAAGCTTCCCAGAATCCTTGACATTGCTTAGAATCTCCATTTGCATTATCAAGACATTCAAGAAATTCTTTTTGATATAAATTACATCGATCAGTACTATATCTGTCAGTAGGATCCTGATAGAGTGGTTCAGCTGTTGGACCAGTTGTTGTTTGCGTAGCAACTGGTTGTTCATGACCATGATATCCACCTAATGTACGAAGAACAACAAAATATTGTCATAATCTTTAATATTGAGAAGTATATTTTACCAGTTAATGCAGCACCAATAGTATGTCCAACGGCTGAACCAACGGCAACTCCACCAGCTGTAGCAGCCATCTGTCCAAATAAGCCAGGTTGGCGGCCAACTGGAGCCATGATAGGAGCAGGAACTGCTGGAGGAGGTGCTACAATAGCATGAGTTGATCGTGGAGGAGGAGCTCTTGAAACATCATTTTACATGAATAATCAATGAAAAATATTCATTTAATACATACCTAGATGGGGAAGAAAATCGCATTCCACTACCACCTGAACGACGAGGCATTTTATTGAAAATAAGTGTTTGTATGTAAAGAAAAATATATGAGAATAATAGAAAAGAATCGATAATATATATATGTAGTAACGTTCTTCGAGAACAGAATAGAGCAATAAGTACAAAAAAGAACGCAATCCTGAGTCATGTATGATACCATCTGATCTAATCCGTCATTTATTCGAGAATGTTCTCGTTTTTTTCATTCCTTTACTACAAACAACAAAAGTTTACTTTTTTATTCATTTGTAGAAAAGATTTAGAAGAAATTTTATTCATTATATCGATGTTTTTGATTCTAAGCAAAACGCAATTCTACATAGAACTCATCGTCAATGAGGTATGTATCTTTATTTTGATTGGTGAAAAACAATACTGGTTCTTTTTTTTATGTCATGTTATATATTTTGCACGTTTTTATGTGAAAAAAAATAGAATTTTGATTGAAGAATAGATCGATGTACAAAAGAACTTGAAATTTTAATCAAAAAAATCATCAGCTTCGTTATTTGTTGTAACTGGTGGAGGAGTACTTGATATTTGTGGCTTATTTTCCTTTGAACTAACTGCAGCTTGAGACAAACTTGGTTCAGCATCATCATCGGTATCATTTTCATTTTGTATAACAGCATCGTCATCATCTCTATTATCCGGTTTAGGAGAAGCTTCTAAAAACATCAAAAGAAAAGAATTGATTTTTATATGATAAAAATTATTTTATTTAAAAAATCTGACCTTTTCGCTCAGGAAGAATAGGTGTTGGTTGCAAACTAGGATCATCGAACACTTCTTCTTCTTCTTCATCTTTATTGTTAACCTCAGACGTTGGTGAAGGTGCTAATTGAAACAAACAGAATTATAATTGTAAAATTTTATAAAGAAAAAAAAAACAAACTTCGAGTATCACGAAGATTATCTGCATCATCTCCATGTATTAAAACATCATCTTTGATTGTTGATTTTGTTTCTTTATCTGGTTCTGGTACTGTTGTATTAGCTAGAAATAGAATTTAATTGAAACAATTTGAATAACTATATGTATGTGTACATACAAAGTTTAGGTGGTGTTTTTTCTATTTGAGGTTGTAGATGAAGTATACCTTGTCTCTCTGTAGGTTCTGATATTTGTGATTCATTATCAAATAGATCAACAATACTATTATCATTTTCTTGAACAATACTTTGATTTCTTGGTGTCGATTGAAATAATGGTTTTTTAGGAACTTCATTCAATGAACTTCGACCAGTATCAGTAGATGTTGGAGGATTTGAAATAACCTTTTTAACGGGTCTAATAGGTTGAGATGGAATAGATTTTACTTTTGTCTTTGGAACTGTAGCTGTTGTTGGCTTAGCAGCACGTGGAATAGGTGGTCTAGGTTCTTTAGTTGTTGTTGATGCTGCTGTAGAGTCCCATGCAGATTTTACTTTACTTTCAGCATTTATAATACGTTTTTTTAATTCAGGATTGGCACTGGACATTCTCGGTTGATTTTTTCTTGTTTTTTTTGGTACTATTAATTCAGTTTCTTGTGTAAATGGTGCAATCAGTTCAGGTTTAATAGCAGGTTCAAAATATCTCAGATTTTTTTTTGAAAGGTTTTTAGAAGGTGGACGCCAAATAGGCTCCTGTGTTTTTGATACAGCTTTACTAGTTGGATCAAAAGCACGAAATGGTTTCTTTTTATTTGTAATACCAGCGGGCTTCCAAGGAGCTTCACGACTTGGTTTCGATTCTCTTGGTGGAGCATTAGAACCCATAAATTTCGAAGGTTTAATTGCACCGCTTGGTCGCCATGTAGGTGCTGTACTAAAAAAAGAACTAGCCGATTGACGAAGTGGATTTGGTGCACTGTCCGGACGAAAACGAGACTTTACAGATGTAGATCTTGGACGTTCTAGAATAGGATATATTTGTAATTACTTTCCTTATTTTTTATTACAAACCTTTGCAATCAGATAATCGACTTTTTGGTTGTATTAGTTTATTATCATAATCTGGTGCTCGAGGTGTACGATAAGTGCTAGCTTCTGAATAAGAATTTCGTCGAACAGGTGAAGTATTCGCAAGCCATGGACTTTGATTATCTGGACGATTTCGAATTTTTCTAACAAAACCTTGATCTTGTGTCGGATAGAGATCAACTGTCATTGGATCATCTTGTAAATATGCATCTGAAGTTGACATAAGAAGCTGATCTACTTTAGACATTGAATTTTGCCGTTGTCGTTGTCGTCTTGGAATATGAACTTTGTATGTTATTCGAGCATTTCGTTTTTTAGGTTCCGATTGTTCAGATTCTGTTGATGAATTTCGCTCCATTGAAGCATGAGAACGATATGTATCATGAGGAGCTGGACAGTGATGAACGTGGTAATGTTGTGGTCGAGGTGGTAGAGAATGATTAGTGAATTCAGATTGTGCCAGAGTATAACATAATTCATCATTAATTTGACGTAATTTTGATATTGCTTGTGAAGGAGGAGGAGGAGGAGGCGGAGAATATACAGGATGATGATGAATTATCACAGATGATGAAGGTGATGGACAATAATCAATAGATTCAGAAAGATATTCGTGTGGTTTATATAAATCAAAATTAAATTTTGTATTTGATGAATTTAATGGTGGAGATATTGATTGATTTTGATTTGAATATAACGAAGAGGTAGACCTATAGGTAATAGGATAATGATGCACAAGATTAGGTGCAGCATTATAAACTGAATCGAAATTACTCATAACCTGAGCATATTGAATTGAGTTATCCATTATATTTCAACTTTGGACAAATACTTGAAGACTGTCTTTTTTTCTAAATAGTTACCATCCGACAAATGAATTCAACATGTTTCCATAGAAATATCATGATTAACTAACTATAAAGGATGAACTGATTTTGAAACTTAGTAGTAAAATACATAGATATTCATAAAAGTATATTCATATTAAAGTTAAAATATAAAATGCTTGAATAAAAATAAAGGATCGTCTGTATAGTGCTGTCACCTATCGAGCAACATATATATTCAAACTCTTTGCAGAATTTCTTTCAAACTAAACAATCGTATTATTATATCAGTCTTTTGCTTTTTAAAACTCTGAGCACTTAAATTGATAGATTAACTGCAAAATTGCTTATTTCAAAGTCATATATTATGAGAAAAAAAGTGCTGTTTTCAGTTTCTATTCACAACAAAAATAAAAATTGTTCTGTAGTATTTGTATACACGTGATGATATAATTATTTCAAATATGAATTTCACTTCTTGCCTTTAAAAGAATCAAATAGAAAAAGAGTAATTAACAATTTTTTGCGATTTTATTCATTTATATTTTTAAACTGGCAAATTTTCAATTTAAAAATGAGAAAGATATTGCTCTCTCATTTGTCGTAATGTTTCAACAAGTGATTCAATTCCTTTGATGCCATTTCGACTTTCAAATGTCACCCGTTTAGTTCCTTCTGTCCAATCAATCTGAATCCATTCTATGCCACCATCAGCACAACCAGGACATCCAATAGTATCACCCAATGCGGTAAATACCTTGAGATCTACAAGAGATACAAGTTGTTCCCATTCAGTCGATGAAAATGAAAATTGTTGTCGAACTGGTGGATAAGATTCGTCAACAAAGTTTGGTTGTTTTGAAGCAATTACTTCAGATGGATTTCCTGTTGCATTAATTGATGATTGACAATAACCACGGCACATTCCAAATGAGAGTCCACTAGAGATAGATCGAATATTGCTTGTCTCAAACTTTCCATAGGCTACTGCAAAAAGTGAAACAAGGAGAATATATTGCCACGAAGCTTGCATTGTTTCTTTTTGAAAGAAAAATAATCAAATGCTTTAAGCGCAAGCACCTCACCTATATATATATCTATTGATTTTCTTTTTCGGTCAATACAGTTTTTAAAAAAATATTCTAAAAGCAAATAAATGTTAATCTCTGCTAATTCAATTTATGAAATTAAAAAAGCTTTGTATAGAATTTGACAAATCCAACTACCCTATCAGGTAACAAAATAGATTAAATTTTATTGCTAAAAATAATTGAATGAAAACTATATTCTACATACCGAGTAGCAGATAAATAACACGGTTATAGAAAATTTAAATATCTCCACTTCGACTAAATCAAATGAATTGATTCTTTTATTATAGATAGAACTGTACTTAAACTATTATTCATAAGGATCATTTCATTAATTTATGATTGGCTATTCTCTGCACAACTCTATTCACTCTTTTGAAATGAAATAAATAAAACAAAAGTAAAATTTAAATATTGTACAAAACCTAATAGTAGAAAAATCTTTTCTATTATTTTCTATGATTTTTGATCGAATTCTATATTATAGCTTAAATTTTTTCATAATATTGAATGTTAAATTCATTTTCAAATAGAATTTTATTTCTCGTTGTTCATTATATGTATTTGATTTAAAAAAAATGGGTTATTTTGTTCTTTTTACATCGAGCCGGTGGATTGGACCCCTTAACAACAATATAAGTATATAATTAAATTTCATAGTAATTATTCTTTAATCTTACCTTGTACGTGTTACATAAAAGAGCAATAAGATCTGTTTGGGCCAAATCTTGAATTTCATCAGTATGATTTCCATTAAGTGTTACATATGGTACAAATGCATCTGCTGGTTTAGATTTTTCAGTTTGAACAGCATAGACATGTTGTAATTGATTACCCATTCGACTATTTGTACAAGTTGCAACTTTTTCAAAATCTATACTTGTATTTCTTGCACATTGTCTTGCTACCGTTTCAACATCACCGAATGTGGAATCCATACAATAAAGAAAAGGCTAAAATAATAATTTAGAATTTCTTTTTTTTTTTGCTTCATTCTTTTTATTTTTACCATATGTTGATGAATATCTGGATAAGATGCAATAGCACATGTCTAAAAAAACATAATTATAAGAAAATCTTCTTATTAAATTGATAACTTACATGAATTAGATTTGCATAACATTCATCAGAACCATGTTGACAATAGAATTGATATAGTTGTGTTTCAGGTCGATAAACTTCATGAGCATTTCCATAAGGAATAAATGTTAAATTAACTATATCAATAACAGCTTGATATGCAAACCATACTTGTGTAATAGTAAATTGACGACAATCAGCACAGAGTGATTCATAATAAATTGTAAAGTTTACTCGATCATTATCGGCAGTAGTCTTCCATACAAATGATGTACATTGTTTAGTTACCTGATAGAATAAAATTCACTATCAAAAAAACAAAAAATGAAAAGAAAAATTAATAATACGAACACCACAAATAGCAGCAATCTCTTTAGTTCGACACCATTCAGTTGATGAACTAGGGCACTTAATAGGTAATGTGGTTGTGCTCAAAATAAGCACATTGTAAATGCTGACAATAAGAATAAAAACGACATACATACTGAATATGATAAATAGAAATGTTGAAGTTGCTAATTGATAAGAACTATATATTGATGAAAGAAACATACTGATAAGATAAAATATAGTTTATCTTTTATTAATAGTTTTTCATCATAAAAGTAACTTGTATAGATCATTGAAATAAATAAAAACTATTCTATCTTTATAGAAGATGAACTATCGTTGATACTCTGCTATACTATTTTGAGATTAATTTTAATAAATATTTTAATTAAATATCATGATCATAACGATACAATAGGTAATTATTTTTATTCTTTTAAAAAAAATTGATTTAAATCCTATTTTAATAAATATTTAATTTGTTGTGTTAAATATCAATAAATAATATAATCTTATTAAATTGCAATAGTTTTATTTATTAAAACCTACTGGTTTGACGGAAATGAATTGTATGATACTTTAAAAAAAGTGAATTCCAAGATAATTCAGTTTATATTAGAAACTATCGTGATCTACATTAAGAAAAGGCGATTTCTAAAATATCCCATAATGATGTCGATATCAAGAAATTATTTTATTTTAACTTTTTTAATATTAATTGAAAACACTTCTCTCCTGATTTCTGATGTTCTACTTTCTGTAAATATTTGTTTGCTCGTGTATCAGATTGAGAATATCATCAGTGAAGAGCCTTCTAAACGTTCGAATAGAAGATGATTAAAATTATTTTGCGAGAGAAAGGTAAAGATATGGTATTTATGCATAATGAGAAACTGATAAAGGCAGTGAAGTCGAACTCTTATCATCTTCGTTACCTTCAAAATCATTGTAAGATTATTTTCAGTCACGTCCGTCACTGACACATATATCATTTGATACACTTTCTTCAAATTCATTTGTCATCGTCGCCGTCGTTTAATTTATAAAACAACTCATATTTATCAAAAGACAATTCAAAGATTTATGGTGCACTGTATTATTTTAAACTGAAAATTGACAATTTTCTAAGATGAATGTATGTTATATGTTGTGACATGGCCTAGAGCATCCTAATCAAATACATTATATCTTCTACATATGTGCATGTATGCATTTGTTTCCTTTATATTATCTGTATGCGTCATACATTTATAGATATAGGTCGTTCTTTTTTTTCTTTCCAAGTGTATCGTTTAAATTCTCTTATTCTCTCTTATATTTTTATGGCACAATTAAAAAAGAAAATGCACACCGTTATTTTCTCTATTTTTCAACTGTAATAGTCGGAAATTAATGCTATTCATACACTGTTATGCTTCTTTCTATCAGAATCGATTTTTTCCATTCATTAGAATTGTCTGATCAAAAACAAAAAAACGGAATATATATGTTCCACTGACTTTGAAAAAGTTAAAATAATATTCTAATGTTTTTACATATGATAGATAGCGAAAGATTTATCAAGTGTCTGGAGAATGTGAATATTCGATGAATGCAATATTCACACTCTGTTGTTTAGCCTGATAATATATCATCTATTCGAGAAAATATCACAAAACCATATTAATGCGTCTAACCAATAAGATTCAAACAGTATGTGACTGCTCAAAACTATTCTGTCACCATAAAACATGTTTTATTTTGAACGATTTCATTCACTGAATCAAAGCAAAACAAGAATGTGGATTTTTTGTTGATCTTATATCCGTATTTTCAAATACTCGAATTATAAAATTTTAAAAGTTGATAATAATTAATGAGTTTTTAACTAATAAAATAATTTTAAACTATGTAATGTTCAATGTTGATAAAATTAGTGCTCAGTGAAAAGATACAGAATTTGGTAGAACACTCACGCATATTTAAGACACTGTAACCTAAAAAATATGATAAAAGTGCTTTAAATATTGATACTGCATTTTCTACAACAAAACATAATACAGATGTGTTTACTAAAAGAATTACGTATTTCCTATCTGATTTTGCAGTTTAGTTCGATGAAAATCATGTTTTTTTTATTCAGATAAACATATAACAATATTGTTATAGTTACTTTTCATTTCCTTGTTTTAAGATAATGATAAAATAAAAAAAATTATCAGTTGCGCATTTAGTTTTGTCTGATATTCTTTGAAGATATATATATATATATGAAAAAATATACTAAAATCTTTATCTTCTTTTTCTTGTTGCACAATTTTTGCAATTGATCTACAAAACATTACTATCATAATAATAATTAGTTTTTATATTTCTAAAATTATTATAATGCATTGGCAATTGTTATATTTTATTACATTATTATCAATGACAATAATTAAATCGAATGCATCATTTCTGTATGATACAATTGATAATTCAAAAACAACTTTCGATTGTCTTTATGCTTATATAAATGATGATGGTGAATCATATGAACACGTTTCATTTCGAACAAATTATCTAATACCTTATTGTCGACGTCCATTATCAATCGATCCTATTAATAAAATACAAGGATATATAGAAAATACAGATACATTTAAGAATTTACGTTTACAAGGAATTACGAGTGAAAATCTTCGTCAATGGTCAATATCAATTGATATTATTGAACTATATTCTATATATTTCATTACAAATGATATCGAATCTGATGAATTTATTTTTAATAATTGTTCATCATTATGGTTTGGTTCGAATTGTCAATATACATTTAATTTGAATATGTTTATTGAATCATTCGGGGATTTCGTAGATTCTTCATTTGAAGCTCGTCAATACCATATAGAAGAAAACATTGTAATACATACTTGTTATCCTCATTTATCTGGATGTCATCGTGGTCCTGAACCGATGTGTTTAGATTGGCGTGAAATATGTGATGGAAAAATCGATTGTATTGGAGAGAACTTTGGTATAGATGAAGAATATTGTAGTGAACTTGAAATAAATGAATGTAACGAAAATGAATATCGATGTCATAACGGAGCACAATGTATTCCGCATGAATTCTTTCGTGATAGTCGATTAAGTAAAGATTGCTTGGATGGAACAGATGAACCTGAAGAATATCGTCACGAGATACAAGACACTGGTAGATGCATCGGTTCAATGCGATTCGCTTGTGAAGAGAAAACATGTCGTCAACCACAAGAATTTTCATGTGGCAATGGATTTTGCGTAAAATCTAACTTTGGTTTTGATCGTATTAGTATGAGACAACATGCTTGTAACGGTATAGGTCGTACTGCCTACTATCTTCAAGCAATTTGTAAATCAGCCAAACAATATCCGGATGATTGCTATCTTTTATTATACTGTAAACTCGGCTTTTATAACATTCTCCAAAATGATACATACAATATAGAAGATTGTTTACGTGCAGATTGGTCATCAATAAATTGTACACTAGAATATCTTTCATTTCCTCTTGAACCTATTTTACATGGTTATTTTCAACCTATTTATTCAACTAAAAGCTTGATCGAAAGTCATAATGATAATGGATGGCCAAAATATATCTATACTGATCCACGATTATGTTTATATTTGCCAAAACCAACAACTCATATCAATGGTTTAGATTGTCGTGAAGCTCCAAAACCTTCGCACAACAATCGGCTTTTGTCATATAATTTGGAAGAAGATACTAAGATTTGTGCATTAACGGGAAATATTAATAAATACAAATCAAAGTCATCTTTATTTTATTGTGAACAATCTCATAAATATATATCGAAACATCGTCTCATTGATGGTACTCAAGATTGTAATTATAATGAAGATGAAAGTTATAATGATAGTTGTTCATTAAATGATACTCAACGCTTTACTTGTACATCAGAAACAAAATGTTTATCACCTGTAGGTATTGGCCATGATCAACCTGATTGCAAAAATAAAGAAGATATATACATTGGAAATCCTGAAATATTTGTATATGCACGTCTTTGTAATCGTATACATGACGCACAGATACCACCAGAAGATAATGAAGACGATGAAACCAATTGTGAATGGTGGCCCTGTCATACTCCGTACACTCGATGTGATAAGGTTTTGCAATGTGCTAATGGTATCGATGAATTGAATTGTCCTGATGCTAATTGTAATATTAATGAATTTAAATGTTTAATTGATTATTCATCTGATGATCATTATTGTATTCCTCAAGAATATATTTATGAAAAACCAATCGATTGTATTAATCATGGTTTTAATGGTCATGGTTATCTAAATCGAACTATAATTTATTCGAATAATTTAACTTTTAATATTAATAAAAAATATATATCATGGAAAGAAAAGGCTTGTTTAACAAAAAATGATGTTTGTGGCTATTCATCAACTAATGATCAACAATTAATATGTAATATTGTTGAAAACGATATTCGCATTAAGTATGCATTAACAATAGATTTATATAATGGAGCGTCATGTCGGATATTATCTGATTCTAGCGATCTTTATAAGCGTTATTATTTTTCTACATGGAATTTAGGATATTTTCCACCAGTAATAAACGAAACATCATTATCATCTCAACAATTTATCAATATTAACCCAAAAGAATCTCTCAAAATCAATACTAGTATTGAATCAATCGTATATTGTAATCGTGGAATTGTTATATTTGAAGGAAAATCTTATGAAAAGAAATGTTTATGTCCACCTAATTATTACGGTGATCGATGTCAATGGCAAAATCAACGTATTAGTTTAACACTTCAGATACGTCCAGTAGGTTCACATAAGAATAAACATTCTATTTATGATATATTTATTTATTTAATTGATGATGAAAATGAAATAATACATAATTATGAAAAAATTAATTATATGACATCAAAAGATTGTAATACAAAATACAATCGTTATTTACTTTATCCTAATCAACCAAAAAATCCTAATCATACCTATTCAATACGTATTGATATTTATGAAAAATTAACATTATTTAATTATTATGCAAGTTGGAATTTATCTATTCCATTTCCATTTTTACCAGTTAATCGTATAGCAACACAACTTCGTATTCCATCAGAAAAATCTCAACCATTAACAAATTGTTCAGCTCAATGTGGAAACCATGGACAGTGTTTTAATTATATTAATACAGCAAAAGAATTTTGTCTTTGTAATCAAGGCTATTCAGGTCGTTTTTGTAATATAACGTATAACTGCTCATGTTCATCGGATTCAATCTGTTTAAATTCATCAATTTGTTTATGTTCATTAAATAAATTTGGTTCAAAATGTTATTTACAATATACATCTTGTCGATCGAATAATAATTCATGTCAAAATAATGGTCAATGTATATCTTATAATAATCATATAAATCATGATGATTTTATTTGTTTATGTCCGGAAAATTCTACTGGACCTTATTGTGAATATCAACTAAATAAAATTAATATTAATTTTAAAATCAATTCAATTCCATTATCAATCATTGCTCATTATATTATTTCACATGATAAAAGAAGACATGAAAAAATAACAAAGTTTAAAAAAATTTCATTGGATCAATTTTCAATTGAATTATTTTCTCAAATTCCATTTAATTTATTATTTATTGAATTTGAAAAGAATTTTTATCTTACTGTAGTAAGAGAAAAATCAATTCGTTCTGAAAATATTGCTACTAATATAAATCAAGATTACAAATGTGAAAATATAAATAAACTTTTAAATTCAACAATACTTAATTACACAAATCTTCGTCGATTAAAATATTATCAATTACCATGTATAGAAAATCTCAACTTAAAATGTTTTTATGATGAGAAATATATGTGTGTTTGTGATAAAAATCGTTATTCAAATTGTTTTGATTTTATTCATAATGCATCCCATAATTGTCAAGGTAATAATTATTGTGAAAATAATGGCGAATGTCTTCAAGATAATATAACTTGCCCATCAACTTCAATATGTATATGTAAGAAATGTCATTATGGAAGTAAATGTCAATTTAATAGCACGGGTTTTAGTACATCACTTGATGTTATATTTGGATATCATATTAAACCATTTATTTCATTTACAAAACAATCCAGCGCAGTAAAAATAACAGCATCCATAACAATTTTAATGTTAATATTTAGTATTATTAATGGAGTATTATCTACATTAACTTTTAAAAGTGAATCTTTACTTAAAGTAGGTTGTGGAATATATTTATTAACAAATTCAATCATATCAATATTAACAATAACTATATTTACAATAAAATATTTTCAACTCATTGTTTTTCAAATGAAATCTATAACAAATACAACATTTATTCATTTTAGTTGTATTTTAACAGATGTATTATTAAAAATTCTGCTTAGTTTTGGTGATTGGTTATATGTAGCTTTAGCCATTGAAAGAACATTAGCTGCTACACAAGGAATATATTTTAATCAGTCAAAAAGTAAATCTATAGCTAAATATGTTATACCGATAATATTATTATTAATAAGTATATCTTATATTCATGATCCAATATCTCGTCGAACAATTCATGACATTGATGATGAACAAAGAGCATGGTGTATTCTTGAATATTCAACAAGTTTAAAAAAATATGATAAATTTATAAATATATTTCATGTTTTAATACCATTTATAATTAATATATTATCTGCTATATGTATTACTATTCAAGTATTTCGAATACGTGTCAAAACAAAGAAAAAATCAGCATATAAAAAAATTCTTTATGCTCAAATTAAACAAAATAAACATCTTCTTATATCATCATGTATTTTAATATTATTATCTATTCCTCGTTTAATTATTTCGTTTTTATCTGGATGTATGGATTCAATACGGAATCCATGGTTATATTTAACAGGATATTATATTTCGTTTATTCCACCATTACTTATTATTATATTATTTATTTTACCTTCAAAAACATACAAACAGGAATTTATGTCTATTATACAAAAAATAAATTTTATTTCAAAATAATAATAATAACATTTTTCTTTATCTATTATCTATATGATCTTTTCGTCAGAAATGTTTTTTATTAGCTTGAGGAGAGCCTCTGACCATATCGATCCCAAAGGAACAGTTGAGCTAGCAAAGTTGAAGCAGCTTGTGAAAGCAAGAGAAAATGACAGCACAATATCACCACGTGAAAGATTTAACGGATTGTACTAAGCTTGCAGATAGACATGCTCTGTCTGAATCACACATGGAGAGAAGTAAAATGCGAGCAAGAAGAGGAGAAGCACGGTTATCAAGCATATGTACATGAAGCATTACTCATTTAAAGCTGTTATTTTTCTTTTTTCTTTTTTCCTCTTAGTTTTCATAAAATCATAGTCACCATTCTTCTCTTCTTTCTCACATTCTCCTTTTTTGTCTCTCATCTTTTTTTGTCACCATGACCTTCCAAAGTAATATCGCTCGGATATTTAAAAACTTTCTGGAAATTGAGCGAAGCATGTTAGTTCCTCTTCATTATATACTGCTACTGAATCTGAAGTACCGTGAGATGTCATCCACTCGAGCGCTTTCCCTAATATATCAACATGACGTACAAACCTTCTCGATCTATATAGACACCGTATACGTTTCTTCATTTCACCATAAATTTCGAATACAAACGTACAGAATATGTTCTTTAAGTCAATAGTCGAATGTACTTATATTGATATTATTAACTTTTATTCTTTTCTTTTAAATAAAATAAATTTGAATTTGATAAATTCTATAAGTATTTGATTAATCGAAATTCTAATATTAATTAACATTTAAAATCAAAGTGAACACAATGAATCTTACCGAAAATAGTGAGTAGATTACTGATTGATCTTCAAACGAAGATATAATATTAATAGATCTATGTATGAATAATATTATTATCTTGAGATTTTTAATATAAATATGAAATTTTCAGCCTATAAGTGATAATACAAGAAAAAAATAATCTCAAAATATGGTATTTTTCATACATCATTAAATTAAAGTGGTATTCTAAAGTTAAGTAATAATATAGAATAGAATACAAGTGAGTTGTTATTATGGTTTGTAATTATTAATAGTTGAATTCCAATACAGACACACGTAAGAGATAAATCAAATACTCTTTAACTCATTCTCAAAGACATCCATTATATGAAGGTGAATTATTTCTCCTTCATGGATAATAATGAAAGAAATTTGTATCAATTTTGTATAAACTATTCTCTACGTGTGATAGTACTCTATCATCCGTTTGTGTATAATTATTCTTTTCCATAGATAATTCATCTTGACAATGTGAATAAAAATATCACATTGTTCATATTTATCATTATTCAAGATAAGGACAACATGAGAAAACAATAATAATAGATAAGTATTTATAGATTTTTGTGTAAATGGATTTGTTCATCTATTAAGTGATGAATAGAAATCAACAAATTCAATTTCAGTTCGAATCGAAGCAATTATTGAAAATATTTTCTGATCTAATCTGAATCGCGATACAGTCGGTTACAATCGTATAGTTTTATCTACAAATATTCCATGTACTATATGGCATAATAACTACGCTCATAAAATGCCATCATAAATTATTGTTAAATACAATTTGTACTTAAATCTATATCGTCTGTACAAGTGTTGTATTTCAGTTGTATAAGATCTGTACTAGACGATTGTAATAATCAATGAAAATATCTTCAGAGATTCTAGACATGTTAAGAGGAGAATAAGTGTAAAGAATTCAATTGTAAAATGATTTATTTTTAAATAAGATGAAAGAAAAAGAAAAACAAATGACAAAAAAAGCAAATTGTTTCATTAGAATTTATTCGATTACAAATAATAATTTTAATTAACATCAACATCAAACTTCACTATTCGATGAAAGAAATTATCAACGACATATAGATTCCCTTCTCGATCTAATGATATAGCTCCGACTGCAGCGAACAAATATGGTGGTTGTTCCCAACTTCCTCCATTCATAATAACGTAACATTCTTTAGACTTTTCTGACCAGCCCACTATTCGACTTCCCAATAATTCTGACACATATGCATTACCAAAATGATCGACAGCCATTCCAAACGGAAAATAATGCAATTCTTGATTATTATCTGTAAATCGTTCCTTAGCAATAATAATTCCTTCTTTTGCATTTTTTATCCATTTTGTGACACGACCACTTTGATAATCAGATACATAAATCGAATATTGGTCATCAACAAAAATATAGGCAGGATTATTTAGTTGATTTGAATTATATCCAGATCCTTTTCCACCGGCTACAGTTGTTACCTCTGTTTCTCCTTGCTTTAATCGTATAACACTATGTGTTTTTCCTTCCGAAACATAAATGTCTCCATTATTATCGATTGTTACACCCTGACATTTAATTTCGCCGATAATTACTTTTGGATCTGTTTGATTTCGACGAGACCATTGTACTACACGGTCGTTTCCTTGATCACAAATAATAAGTAAATCATTTTTTTTATCAACAGTTACATCTGATGGATCTTGCAATTGATTTAAATCATCTCCTGGTCCATTTCCACCAGCAACGGTTTCACCACTTTCTTCACCGACTTTCCATCCAATAACTCGATTACTATTATGTCGAGTAATATAAATCGTCTGATTATCATCATCAATATAGATTCCTCGAACTCGACTAACATAATATGAGTCTTCTGCAGGCCCCTGTGCGACAACAATAGAAGAATCTAGTTTCCATTTGAGATAATTATTATTTGACACAGAAGTAAATGATAATTCTATTGCAAAAATTAAAAAAATAACTAATTAAAAAAAATGTTTATATATAATCAATTAATTTATAGATGTGTTTATCAGACATTGACAATCATTTATCTTTACTAAAGATTATATCCATCAAAAACTTATATGAAATATCTCTGAATTCATCATTATATAAATGATTTTCTATAAGTAAAACTCTTAAGTCCTGATGATTTCTATAATTCTCAAATTATTATAAAATTCTAGTATTTTGTTATGTTTATAAATAGAACAAAAATAAGAAATAATGAACTAAACTATTCATTTTTTTCTGTGCTATCAGACAGAAAGAATTGTTATTCTATGAAAGTGATATATAATAGATTTCGAGTTAAAAAATACGATATAAAAGTTCAAATTCTATCGATTGTTCCCTATCATATGTCGAAATATACTTCAAGATATATTCTACAATTCGAACTTGAACTATAATTTAATTGAACAAAACACGAAACACAAACTGATGGTATTGATTTGATCAATAAACTATCTTTTCTATACTATTTATTTCGTAAAAATTTACCTTCTGTTGTTGTTGCTGCTTCTGTTGTTTCTACTGCTGTTGTTATTGTTGTTGTTGTTATTGTCGCTATTTGTGATACATTTTTCTTTTTTTTCATTACTATAGGTAATGAAATACTTATTGATAATATAATTAGAGTAACAATAATACCAATTGTAAGCCATAAGAATTTTTTTCTTTTTAGAATATTTATAAATCTAAACAAAAAATGACTTTTTGTTGTTTTTTTTAGAATTCAAAAGTTACATACGATATTCTTGATTGATTAGTTGATGTTGGAGTTATTTCCTCATTAATCGAATGAAACTAAAATAGTCAAAAAAAGAAAAATGAAAATAATACTACCACTATAGTTTTCTTTGTAAATTACATCATCATTATTCTGCTTTTTATCATTCATACAGTGGCGGATTTAGGGGGGGCGATGGGGGCGATCGCCCCCCCC